TCCATACCACGGCTCGAGTTACAAGCGGCACTGCTGGGAGCTCGTCTTGCGCAGACCGTGATCGATGAACACGATGGCGACATAGCAGGCAAGACATACTGGTGCGACTCCCGTACTGCACTGGTGTGGATAAGATCGGAGCCTCGCGCGTACAAAGCTTTCGTCGCTCATCGCCTGGCGGAGATAGAAGATACGACCAAAAAGAACGAATGGCGTTGGCTACCGTCTAAAGAAAACGTGGCAGACGACGCAACCCGAGCCACACCAGAAGGGTTCGACGAGTCGCACCGATGGTTCCGAGGGCCCCCGTTTCTGCAGCGTCCACCGGCAGAATGGCCGCAGGAAGAGAAAACGACACAATATGACACCGGGGAAGAGCGAGAAATATGTAACATCGCTGTTAAAAGTGAAGACTCGACAACAACACATCTTCCACAGATAGGAAGATTTTCTAAATGGATTCGGCTCATAAGGGCGACAGCGAGAGTCCTCCTATTCATCGACATGTGCAGACCAAACAAGCACGTAGTGAAGGCTGGGCGTAAACGCAACAAAGCAAGACAAGGTAGCGACCCTGGCTGGCAGAGAACAAACAAACGCAACACCCCCGCCAAGGAGAAAAAGGCGACTCCTACTGCCTCATCGCTTGTAGGAATACCGGCCGCTTATCATATGAGAGCCGAACAACTGTGGGTGCAAGCCAGTCAGCGGGAAAGCTTCACGAAGGAGCTCAAGAGAATCACCAGCGGAAGTGTTCCGGGAGGCGACGACAAACTAGGCCACCTGAGCACATACATTGATGAAGAGGGGACCCTACGCCTCAGAGGTCGAATAAAAGCGGCATCAGAAGTGGAGGACGACATGTACGACCCTCCCATATTAGACGGGAAGCACGCATACACTCGCCTGTACATAGCACACGTACACGAGAGGCTGCATCACGGAGGCGTAGAAACAGTTGTGAATGAATTAAGACAGAGATTGTACGTAAGAAAAATACGTCCAGTAGTGAAAACTGTCGTCAAAGGATGCCTGCCGTGCCGTCTAAGAAAAGCCAAGCCTGCATCACCGTCTACAGGAAACCTGCCGTCCGCACGCCTCGTTCATCACGCACGTCCGTTCACATACACCGGACTAGACTACTTCGGGCCAATAGAAGTCACAGTGGGACGACATCGCGAAAAGCGCTATGGCGCGTTATTTACCTGCATGACGTCGCGAGCAATACACATAGAAGTAGCCCACTCGTTGAGCGCAGACTCAGCCGTGTCGGCACTTAGGCGTTTTATGAGCAGAAGAGGATGCCCAAAAGAAATATGGAGTGACAACGCTACGTGCTTCAAGGCAGCAGACAAGGAGATGGCCGAAGCAGCACTCGCAGCCCTCGAGCACGAAACCACGTGTCAACAGATTGTGTGGAAGTACATACCGCCATCAGCACCGTTCATGGGCGGCGTATGGGAGCGAATGGTTCGCTCCGTAAAAGAAGCCCTACGCGTCACCCTCAACGAGCGCTATCCCAGCGACGAAACATTGGGGACCCTGCTCGCCGAGGTCGAAAATACTGTAAACTCCAGACCTCTCACACACGTCTCAGTCGACCCAGGAGACCCTGAAGCCATCACGCCGAATCACATCCTCATCGGTCCCAACTCGCACGTACCTGCGCCGGGACACTTCAGCAAGAATGACGTGACGGCCCGCCAGCAATGGAAACGAGCTCAAGCCCTAGCCGACGTGTTTTGGAGAAGATGGGTTAAAGAATACCTGCCCCTACTCCAACACCGGCGGGAGCCCAGCAGCATAGGAGTATCGCCGAAGATTGGAGACCTAGTCATCATTTGTGACTCCAATCTACCACGAAACACCTGGCCCAGAGGGAAAATAAGTAAGGTATATCCTGGCGTCGACGGAGAGGTACGAGTAGTGGACGTAACCACCGGCAGTGGGCACATACTAAGAAGACCAACGAAGAAGATCGTCGTGCTACCAGAGGGATCGCAGCGTGGCGACGGCGGGAGAATGTGCACGACGCAACAATATTAAACAAACGAAAGAAAATGCTTATTGTAACCGGCGCTAGTTGAACAACCTAGGAGCGGTGGGCGGAGCCATGACGACGGTGTAATTATCAGGCCACGCCTCTGGTTCGACAACTAGCAAGGGTTATACGGCGGGACTAGCGCAACCTTATGTTGAATTTAAATTATAATTTGTGTAAATAATTGTATTACTTGTATCGAACGATAAAAAATAATGATTGTATTATAACTAAGTTTAAGGTTGAGTTGTAACTGTGCAATAACTCTCCCAAATAAAGGCACCGTATGAACAGGGAGAGTTAGCATAGTCTTCTAATGAAAACTGTAATTGTTAAATATAATAAATGTTTACTTTATTATATAATAAATATATTAGGCCGTTAGGCACATAAAATAATAGTAGTAGTGTAACCAAAGAGCATGTTATCGTGACGCGGCCGCGGAGCAAATGAAGCCACGCGCACCGCGCCACGACGTTTTATATTTATAGTGCTGAGGCGGGGGGAAGGATTCTCCGCCTAAAGCAGCTGAAAATTATAATGTAAACCTGTAAATAAGTAAAAATATTGATATGTACACCCTAGTCTAACAAGTAGTTATAAGAATATTATATAGTGAATTATGTTTATTAGTTTGTAAGGTTATTAAATAAATAAAGATAGGCGCGGGGGTGAGGCAAGGGTCCGCTGGCCAGCAGCGGCCAAATCATATAAAAGACGGGCCGGCCGCTAGGGTCAGCAGTCGCTCTCCAGCCACCGAAAAGGCACCAGCAAGAAAAGAAAAAGTACAAGTTCCTCCTCACCGCCGCTTGCCTCCAGTTAAAAGCAAGACCAGCGCGTTTTATTCCATTTTTCGCACGGCATTACGGCGATCCGTAATAGTAATAATACTTTGTCTAGTTTGCTAGAAAGATAGTCTATTTGTAATTCGTACAGTAAGTTGGTGTCATTATCAAGTCTGTTCTTGTAGTTCTGTAGCTGTACCTGCAATAAGGTTACTTTGTCTCTGATGTCGTCAAGCTTTACATATTGAAGAAATGTATGATAGTGAGTTATGAGAGTCGTTGGTCCAAGTCTAAATGGTAGTAGGCCTGGTCCGTCTTCAAGATATTCAAGTTTTATCTCCTGGGCTTCGATCGTCAGCACGGTCAGTACAGTCAGTAATTTTAGAGTTCTGTAACAAATCGGCAGTTTTAGGTACACGTTTAAGTCTAGACTTCCCTATCAGACCGCGTTTCCTAGACGTGTAAATGTGTATTGGTAAGTCAGCTAGAACATGGTCATGGGTGTAACGTGGGGCTAATTTTTGTCGGCTAGCTAGGGGGTTGAAAACGAAAACTTGTTTGTTTGGTTGGTATTCAACCTCTGGTTCCTGTGATTTATTCCGATTATTTATTAATGCTGAACGTTCGGAGAAAGAATGTTCGTTAATTATTTCATACACTGTTTTCATTCGATCTCGGTGTGTTAGTATGTATTGCTGCAGTAAATGTTTTGTCAAGTCGATGTCGATTGGGTCTCTTGGGTTGAAATGTCCATTGACAATATCGTAAGGCCTACATTTAGTGAAACTATGTACAGAACTATTGTATCCTAAGATAGCATAGGGCATTACGTTTACTACATGCTCGTCTTTCTTTTGTAGTTTTAGGATTCGCAGATGTTCCAGTATAGTCGAGTGAAACCGCTCTATGTTACCGTTGTCGTTGGGACAGTGGGCTAACGTTCTATGATTGTTAATTTTGTGTAATTGTACGAACTCAGTAAATAGCTGGTTCGTAAATTCGGTCCCATTGTCGGTGACAATAGAATGAGGAAGACCATGATGCGTACAGAAGGTAAGTAGGCTTTGTAAAATGCTCAATGCTGTTCCGTCTCTTAAATGATACGCTTGAGCATATTTGGAGAATACGTCTATAAATGTGAGATACTTTTCATTATGTACTGTGAACATGTCCATATGGATAATCTCGAAAGGTTTGGTAGCGGGGGGAACGATATTGAATTAAGGTTTTAGAGGTTTTCTATCGTACTTAGCCTGACCACATATGGTACATTCATTAATATATTTCGTAATGTGTTCCCTCATTTTAGGCCAATAGTATCGTTTGGAAAGGGCCAGGAAACTCTCGTTGATACCGCGATGGTTGGTTTTACCTTCGTGGTAGTTCTTTATTATTTCTTGTTGTTGCAAGTATTCTTTTACATTTTCGACCTCAACTTTAGTTAATACAAGATTCATAGACGAGCTTCTGAATTTATCTTGTAAGATTGGAATGCCGTCATACATGCAAAGAGGGGGGTTAATTAATAATCCGGTTTTGACTTTTGGGTTAACGTATTCTTTTATGGTGTTGACAAGGTCTACTTCCATTTCCGGTTGTCTTATCTGTATAGCTGTTCGAGTATGTATATCAAAAGCTTTGGTCACTATTGGTCGTCTTTTTATGTCGCCTACAATTGTTAATATTAGTTGTCTGTGGAATTTATTAAGAGGTTCGTCTGTAATAGGAATTTCAAGGATCGGATTTTCTTGGCTTGTGTGGGCCATTTGAGTAGTCGAGCCAGTGCTAGGGGCTGTTTTTACTGATGGGTTAGCTAACATAGAACACGATTCTTCGTTATGTATTTCCACCCGGGAAAGCGCATCGGCATTGGTGTTATTTTTTCCTTTTTTATACGAGTATATGACAGAAAAATCGTATTCGCTTAATTTTAATTTCCCCCTAGTAAGTCGTGAGTTCGGTTCCTTAAGATTCATTACCCACTGAAGGGGTTTATGATCAGTTAAGATTTTAAAAGTACGGCCAAATAGGTAGGGTCTAAAGTACTTGGTTGCCCACACGATGGCAAGGAGTTCTTTCTCTATAGTGCTGTAGTTCACTTCGCTCTCATTTAGAGTTCTAGAAGCGTAACATACAGATTTGTCTGATCCTATGGGTCCCTGAGATAGGATGGCTCATATCGCTACATTGGATGCGTCAGTGGTCAGGATGAATTCTTTGTTGAAGTCAGGATATTGAAGGATTGGGTCGTTAGTTAAGACAGTCTTGCACTTTTCGAGGCAGTTAATATAGTCTGTGTCAAGAGTTATTTTTAGTCCCTTTTTTAGACGTTGTGTCAGAGGTTTAGTAATCCGAGCAAAGTCTGGGATGAACTTCCGATAATAACCTATAAGGCCTAAAAACTGTTTAATCTCTTTTGCGGTTTTGGGTAATGGATACTTTTCTATGGCTGATATTTTACTAGGATTTGGCTTAATGCCATCTTTACTAATTATATGTCCTACATAAGCGGTTTCCAATTTAGGAAACTCGGATTTATCCATTTGTATTTTAAAGTTGGATTCCCGTAGTTTCTGAAATACTTTCTCAAGATTTACCATGTGTTCTTGCAAGGAAGTGCTGAACACAATAATATCGTCTAAGTACACGAGACAAACTGTATTTTGGAGGTCACGGAGCACGTTATCCATGACACGCTGAAACGTGGATGGCGAGTTCTTCAGGCCCATGGGCATCCGTAAGAACTCGAAATGCCCATGTTGAACGTTGAATGCTGTTTTCGGTATGTCACTAGGGTTCATTTCGACCTGGTAAAATCCACTGGCTAAATCCAAGGTTGTGAAATATTGGCAATTTCCTAACTTATCTAGTACATCCAATATATTCGGTATTGGGTATTTATCACTAATGGTTTTTTCATTTAGCTTCCTAAAGTCGACTACGAGTCGCCATTTATTCTTGCCAGAAGCATCAACTTTTTTAGGAACTATCCAGATGGGAGAGCTCCATGCAGATTCGGACGGACGAATTATACCTTGCTCTAACATTTTACTGATTTGTTGTTTAACTTCGTCTCTATGAACGTAAGGGTACCGATAGCTTTTAGTATATATCGGTATCTCATCAGTGGTCCGGATGCTATGCTTTATTTTATTAGTAAATGTGAGCTGTTCTATATAAAAAACGTCAGCGTATTTGGCACATAAGCTTTCTAAATTAGCGCGTTCTTCGGCATTTAGATGGTCGGTGCGTAAACGTGATAATACTTCTTTGTAATGTGGGAGTGGTTGAACGTTGTGAGAGGACTCGATGTTATACGTCTCAGCACATATTGGACGATCTAGGGAGAAAATTATATCGTGCGGAGTCGGGTTAAATACCTCTATAATACCGCGGTTATTTGACAGTAATGTTAGACATTCGTTTATCACGCAATTAGAGATGTATTGTTCGCTAACTAAGGCTTCTCCGTCATGGACATTAATAGGTACTTTTATTAATTTTGAAGATTGGGATGGTATCACGTCCTCGTAAAAATTAACATTTCTAGAGTTATACATTAAGATGGGGTTGTAAGCTAATCGTGTTACAAGTAATATATCCTTTAGATCTATTCTAGCTTCCCATTTCTCTAATAGGTCGAGACCAATAAGGCCATCGAAGTAATCGTGAAATTTATAAATATATAATTTAATACTATCAGGCTCTTGGAATTCTGAAAAGCATGGAATAGTTATCGAATAATTATTCCTAGTTGTAGCATGCACATTCGTTACCTCGAACGGATCATAATTTAAAGGTATATGTGAAAAATATTTTTGTATAGCTTCCGGATTAATGAAGGACTGATACCGGACGCTCCGGTATCGATTATAAATTTTAACGGAGGATTAGAAATACATATGTATGGAAGCTGTCTCTGCGTATGTAAGTTAATTTCTATTTTGGCTTTTTTGAAAAACGAGTCTTTTGAAAATCCTGAGGCGAACTGCTTGTAGAAGGTTGGCAGTCTATGTTATCTTGTTCGTTTATCTCAGTTGTGTCATGGTATTGGTAATGCTGTGTGTCGTCATAGTCATAGGTCACAGTATTGGTATAGTCGTCATTATCATTATAGTCGTAATAGTCGTATTGTTGTTCAGGATAATAGTAACTATCGTAATCAGCACATTCGTTGAAATCATTTCCCTACTTTTGAAGTAATTTGAAGGCGGCGGGTTACCGTATTTGCGCCAGTCATGACCGGTCAGACCTGTCGGAGGCATTGGTTTAGGTACGTAATGGCTAACCCCACTCATAGGCTTCGGACCTGAGTCATGGGGTGGATTCCTATTTGGTAATCTAAACGTATTACTATGGGGTTTATAATTAGGTGGCAAAGCGCGGAACATTTGTTGAGTTCTCGTAGGCATGTTATACTGTGGTGGCACGTTAAGCCTAAAACCTTGCTGCTGTGGTACATGTAAAGGTCGCTGTAAATTGGGGATTGGTATCGGTGCAGGAAAACTGAATGGTTTTTGCAAAGGTAAGGTCATGTAGCTAGGTTGGAGAGGTTTAGGTGCTTGAGGTTTCCTCTCGGCGAAAGGTTCACCGCGTTGTTGCAAGTACATAACATTCAGTTCTTCCTGTACAAACTCCAAGGCTTTTTCAACGGTATCAGGACGCATGCAACGTATTCGTGAGCCAAGTGGCTCCTTTAAACCGCGCACGAAAGCTTGCTTCGTTAGATTCTTATATAATACACGTTTGGCTTCTATTGTAGTAGGCAAGGTTTCATGAAGCGTAACATACGTCATGATAGTGCTGAACAGTGTCTGACATCGTGCATAAAATTCTTGGGGAGAGCTGTTCCCCTGAGTAGCTAATGAGAGGTCATTATAGAGCGCCGTTTCGTCTCTTTGGTCCGAAAAGTTATTGATTAAAGCTGTACGAATGCCATGCCAGCTTTCAGGAATACCATTTGAATTTAAAGTAGTCGCGGCGGGTCCAGTTATTTTATTTAATATACTGTTAAGCAAGCATAAGTTCGATAGTTCACTGCCAGGTTCATTACTTAGATATGCAGCACATATTTGGTCTCATAATTTTATAAATCTAGTTAGTACATTAGGATTACCGTCAAACTCTGGCACTGGGCGTAAAACTTTGAAAATAGTGTCAGGGTCGTGGGCCATTTTTGATTCCTCGGTAATTATATCTAACTCTAAATAACAACTTAAATCTTTATTATAGTCTAAACTTTCTCTACGTGGCTGCCTACCCGATGTAGGGTCACAGTGGGATGATTTCCTTGGATAGAAAATTTTGACAGGAAAGATTTACACTAGGAAAAGGAAAGCAACACTAGATAAAATTCTTGTGTAATTACATAAATTTCATCTCGGTTTTCTCGGGATCGATGTCTTGATGTATCCTCTTGGCTTGCAGTTGACCCGTAGTAGATTCGAATACTCGTTTAAAGCTTGAAAGCTACGATAGCCTAACTAACTTTTGAGTATCATACCGACTGCGCCAATTACGTTAACTGCAGCCGAAGGACCCAAAAAAACCGAAACTAGTTTAAAATACTTTATTATAATATAAAAATTATAATATAATAACTATAACTAAAATAAGAGTGAATCAGATCGATGCTAGATCTAGAATGGAATTACAGTAAAAATAAGGTAAAGGTATATTGCAGAGCTCTGGTTGCATCCGTTGACGTCAATGCTCACGTTCTGCTGAGTTGCGCCTCGTGCCGCTGCAATGTATCGGGGTCGCTGCTGTGTAGGCTTTTTACCTATGAGGCTATGTTATAACTCACAAATACACAAACATACATTTATATATAAGTCACTGTCTCGAGCCTCGGGCGAGAGTGGACGTGTTTAGTTTATGTGAGTGTCGAGCCTGTGTTACACTACAAGGATTAGAGAAGATAGCAGACATTACAATAACCTACAAATCATAAAACAACATAAAAACAAAAAAACCCCAGGCCCGGATAAAATGTGATTTTTAGATATAAGTATTAAATATTTAAATCTTCAAACTAACACATATTTTAAGTTTGTTCACGCCGGGCCCAAGCTTGTATGGAATCAAGTTCATCTCCTTTAATTGTTAAACTTATAAGGAGTATAAAAAAACATTCCTCATTGGTGTAAAAGTCGTAAATACAACTGCTAATCGTGTGTTCCCGAGATCGAATGTCGAATGATCGAATGTGTGAGTTATTAGGGTTTTTGCGTGAAGTAATTCTCAACAGCAATCCGAAGTCAGGAAGTTGGCCATATTTGACTTCAGTGCCTCGGAAACAAAGGCCGTTGGTCCTGCTCTTGATCTCTCTGGTCTTGGATTGCTGTCCCAACAAATTATGAGAGTGAAGGAATAGATAGTGCTTGCGCATACACTCGTGTACTATAATCCTGTCCTGCGCTAACGGCTACTTCCCACTGAGACTGGCCGCTCTGACCTAAATTCGGTTTAGAGGACATAGAAGGACCAAGAAGAAATAAGGGCTGATAAATAGAAATTCTGGGTAAGTTTTTAATAGTCAGAGGATATGTCAGAGGGATCAGACAGATATATTGACGATGATGATGAAATAGCATCACCCTAATTGGAGACCGTCTTTAATCCAAAGTTCAAGCGCTCCACCATTGTTCTCCCATCTCAGATCGTTGATCTCTGCTGGAGTGTGCGTTGAAGAAATATGTATTTTTAACAGACTTAAAAAAAGGAGGAGGTTTACAATTCGACAGTTTTTCTTATTATTGAGCGTATATTACGCGATATCTTCGTCAATTGTAAACCAATTTTGATTATTCTTTATTTTATTAAATACATACTTCAGACGTGGTTTCTTATAAATTAACAGAAAAATTTCTACACCTATGGGTGGAAAAATAGCCGATGAAAGAACATAAAGTCTCATTTAGACTCCGTCCCTATCCGAAATTATCCGAAACTATTATATCGGATTCCGTTACGGTTACTTATAGTTGGAACGAAGTTCCTTATCGCACGGTACGAATTTGAAGGATGGGGGCTAGGCGAGAAAAAGTGTAAGATTTTTCCGTCATGACCCTCTTTCTGTATAGTGCGAGCTGGAATAATATCCATCTCCCTCGCACTTTTTCTTATCTTGCCATGAAAGAAATATTATTTTAAATGACGCTTCATTTTAATAGACGCTAGTAATTCATTTATTTGTATTTGTTAATCAATAATATAATACGTTTATCAATAATAATATTTTACGAAATTAACTTCATTCCAACCTAGTGTTCCACGACACCCATGCATGTTTTTTTTTCTTAATTCAAAAATCTAATCTCTAGCGCTAGGTTCCTCGTTAGTAAATTCATTTAAATTTCGTCCAATCTTCATACAGCCGAGATTTGCAAGCGGCAACCTGTTTTTATTTGGTCCATTGGTTTTCTTGCAAAACTAATATATAGAGGCGCCTTTCATAAGTGAACTACATTGTCAGTCTGTACGACGTAGTACGAGGTTGGAAATTTGTGTATTTTTCGAATTATCTGACTCATTATGCGGGTGAGTAAATAGCTGTGTTTTGATGGCTACCTTTTTATATTTTTATTTGGTTGAATCTTAATATTTGGCTGACGGATATAAATTACACGTGGCAAAGCCATATTACAGCCATATTGCGGTTGTTGCACGAATGAGTCGGCTCGACCGGGGAAGAATCACGCTCTCACAGAATACCAGTGTAAAAATAGCAGCTTAATTCTGCTATGGTACGTATGTCAAGTGTAACGAAACGGCCATTTTTACCGGAATAGAATAGAATAGAATCATTTTTATTCAATATAGATTACATGTAAATCTTATTGAAAGTCATTTTTAGGGTTCCATAGCTAAACAACAAGTAACCCTTATGTCCCTTATGTCTTTTCGCTATGTACATCCGTCCGCGGCTTCACTTACCCTAGGTACTACATAGATGTAATTTGCCAAACTCATAGATATTAATCACGCCAACAAAACTGTGAAATAAATCTTATTTTTTATTTATTTTGGGTACTTCCCATACATG